CTAAGAACCTAGCTTTCCCTTATGAATAAAATTACCATTATCAAATGCTGAACCACAGGGCTTTGGGTATCCTGAGCACTTTACCTGGATTATCTCATTTAATGCTTATGAACTCCTCCCCTGCCCTTCAGCATAGTATTCGTACTTAAGACTCTGTTGCCTTGTTTGCAAAAGAGAGTGAGTGACTTGCTAACAATCTAAACCAGGCTTGCAGAGCTAGATCCACAACCTAGATCTGCCCAAATCAACACAGGTTCTTCCTGATTACATTTTACTATATACAACAGTCCCTGCATTCTAAGAATGGAGTGAGGATCAAACAATTTCATACAAAGTAGTTTTGGGAGAGAGCACAATATTTTCAATGTTTGTTTGCATAACAATGTTAACATCCAAAATATGTTTAAATGGTTTTTTTCATTCTACTGGAATAACTTGCATCCCATATATTTCAGTATGTTATGTTTCCATTTTCATAAATCTAAGCCTTTTCTAATTTCCCTTGTCGTTTCTTCTTTGACCCATTGGTTATTTAGTAGCATATGTTTAATTCCCACATATTTGCGAAATTCCCCCAATTCCTTTCTGTTACTTTCAGACTTAATTCTACATGATCAGAAAAGGGTTCTAGAAATCATGGTTTTACCCTTCAGAAAGCAAGGGCGATTCTGTGAGTGCAAATCTTAATTTTAATCTAGGAAGAAGTAACAGAGTGGTCTAAAACTGTAATTGGTAAAGCAGAACTCACAAAATCCAGCAGGGGGGATGTTTGGTCATTTCTTTGTGGTTTACATGGCATCTTGTTTCCATGCTTCAACATGACTATCAAGTATTCTTATTTATGTCTCACTCCAGCACAGTGACGAGGCCTTGTCAGGTCTTGATGCTCTATAAATATCACAGTCTAGCTATTAGGACCAGGTCAGTTTCCAGCTTTTCCTTTCTCATTTAAACAAAACTGGATGTACATAATTATTCAGCAGAATCTACAGAAGCTATGAGAGATGCAGGAAAATTCTGCATTGTACATTATACAGGCACCTAGCATCCCTGGCCTCCATTTACTGAATGGCATTTATTGAATGCCATTAGATACCCAGCATTGGGCTATGCACTGGAAACAGAGGTGATGGAGGAAGACAGCCTCCCTGACGTCATAGTGTTTACAGACAACTGGAGACATGTGAGGTTTACTTTCATGCATCAATTTGGCTAGTTTCTAGTACAGTTATTTAATCAAACACTAATGCAGGCATTGCTGTGAAAGTATCTTGTGATACAGTTAACATCTACAAAACTACCAGCAGCTACCACCAACATGGTGTTAAGCAACCCATCCCTCCCCAAGTTAAAGAAACACCCTCTGGGGAGTGCACCATGCCCAAGAGCACCACTGCTCTGCATAGTCTAAATCCACCCTGAATCAGATTAAGGAAGGAATACATACTTCAGAGTACATAAGTAGGCACCCTCAAAGAACTATCTTACCAAGTTGTACTTTAATGGCTTTACATCTAAAGTAAAAAACAAAACAAAAAAAAAAAAAACTGTCCAGACAGAAGGCTACTTATTTTAGGAATGATGCTGAGAGCATCACCCACCACAGCATCTGATGTCCTCTATACACAACCCCAAATAAGGAAACTGTGGAAGACAATGTGCCTACCTAAATACCTGTTTTCCCAGACTGCCTCACACCTGGGTGACACTACTTTGGCCAAGGAGAAGAAAGTAGAGCAAAGCCTGTTGTGATTTCTGAGAAAGCTTTGTTCTCAGATGCAAACGCCTTTTTTTTTTTTTTCCTTAAAAACAGATGTGTCATCTTCAGCTGTGACACTGATCCTGTGACCATGAGACAAGCATGGGGACAACAGCCAGATAAGGATGGTGAAGCATCCAGGTCCTGGATGGAATTGCAAAGTAGCTGCATAACACCGGCTGAATTTGACCAGCAATTGCCTTTCAGACTTCCTTTGTGAGAAACACACACAATTCTTTTTTGTTTAGGCCACTATTATTTGTATGACTTTTTGTTATTTGCAGTTGAACCAAGTCCCTATAGAGCAAACAAGTTAGAGGAAATCAACAGGTGCAACCCACAGAGTGAAAAAAAGACTTATGGGGAAAAAAAGGGTTTATGGAAAACATTTACTAGAGTGAATAAAAGATTTATAGGGAAAAAAAGGTTTATGGAAAACATTTACTATTACAATCAATTAAAGTGTTTAAATTATATGCAGAGGAGGGATTCAAATTATACCTTCACTTTTCATAGCACAAAGCCAGTAGTCTTGGAGTTAATAGGCCATGAAATTCTAACAAGTATAGTATTTAGTGATAAGGAGGTAACTTCCTCAAAATTAAACACAAAAGCAGTTGAAAGGTATTTGTTTCTGGGATCAGACTTTTCTCTGTAAACACTTACTACTTGATTTCCTAACCATGTTTTGCTGTTTTTTTTTTTTAATTAATCATAGCAGAGGAAAATTTATATAGATTATATTTTTTCCTAGCACTAAATTATGACTTCTTAGGAAATGCTACTCTGCTTCCTTTCTTACCAAGAGTGATAATTTAAAGGTTTTAAGGAGTATTTCCTACTTCTCACAAGTTAAAAAAAAAAAATCATTAATGAGATTTTATTTTTAGATTAAAAAAAAAAAGTGTTACATACAACCTTAGAATGTATTTTTCAAAGCCAGGGATAGAATCTGGTTTCAATTTTCCACCAGTGGTTTTCCAATAGGCTCAGGAAGCTCCTTGGAAATCAGTGAAGGCGAAGCGGGTGATTTCATAACTGCTAGTTCTGCTTTCATTAGAAACTCTTCTGCTTTGTGACAAAGTTAAAATATAAGATTTAATTGCGGGGGGCGGGGCAACTAGTTTGAAAAGTACGAAAATCATTATACTATGGCAAAAGCTGGTGGTACAGCTAATTTGACCTACAAATACATTTAGTTTGGCTTCACATGGTGTTTTCTCCTTTTAAATTTCATTTATAAGCCTATATCAGATTTCATATAAACATCCAGATTTTCCATTTCTCCTGAACAACTGAAATACCCAGCAACACAGGTCCACATCTGCAAATGGCAACAAATGGCTGGAGATCAGAAGTTTCTGGTCCATTTGGATGAATATGGACTCCAACTTCACTCATTCACTCTATGTGGCCCCACCAGAATTGGGGACCTTACACTAAAGGACAAGGAATACAACTTCCTTCTTTGTAAAAGGAAAAATCATGGAAAAATGAAAAGATTACTGAGTTAGAATTTTAAAAGAAGTTTTGAACTCATGCTTCAGTTTTCAACTGTATTAGTCACAATGGGCAATTATGTCATGGTATGCTGTGATGTGATGCGGATGTGAACCAATAATCCAGGAAGCCAACTGACTTAATATACCAAGGGTTTATTTCTCAATAAAAGAAATATAGGTTTTTCTAGTATGTCCAGCTAGAGTATAGAGGGATTATAGAAGTCACTTAACTCCTCGACTGAAACTCTACCACACTAAATGCTAATGGGTGCCACAAAAGGGGAATGAAGAATTTCACATCAGTTTCTCCTTCTTCTCCCCTAAAACACCACCACTTTCACTCACATTTCATTGACCATAGATAACCACATAGCCTCAACTAATTAAGGGTCCAAAAAAATGTGGCCAGCACAGGCTTCATAAATGAAGGTTCAGCAACGTTGAGAAATCCTCAGGGAGTTTGAATTAAAGAGACAGGCTCTAATTATCTTTAAACCAGCTCCAGGCTCCAGCTACCTATTATGGTAGCAAGGTTTACTGAAGAGGCTAGCGAGAGAGAGAGAACACGCCAGGGAATGGACTTTTATTGAGGAACAAAAATTCTGGGGAAAATCTCATCCAATGAAGATTAAGGGGGGCAGTGTCCCAAGGTCAGGTGCGATGGGTCTTCAGGGTAGTGGCCAGACACGCCTCCACACAGACAAGCCTTGGACCTGAGAAGGGTGGGGAAAGCTCTGGACACAAGGATGCCTCTTAGCCCTCTCTCCCAGCCAGGGAGTAACTCAAATCACGTGTGAAGATGGCCTCCCACATAGTAAATACCAAGTATTCCATTTGTTCTCTTTACTACATGCAACCTTCTAAAGATTATTTTACTTCTCTAAACCTTAGTTATGCATCTCTGGGTCTTGAAGTCGTAATACATATGGTTTTTCCTATCTCTGGAGGTTATGGGGAGAATCAAATGAGAAAATATACAAAAGAACTTTGAAAAGCTCTGAATATACGGTTTTAAAGGACCAAAGCACTACCATGAAGTCAATGTGCCTTCACCTCTACACATATACACACACACTTACCTATTTATTCAGAGGCAACTCAAAGGACAGACCTTCTACGGGATAGAGGATTTGATGCTTTCACTTTGTACCATCAAATTAATTCACCTATATCCAAGATTGAACCAGAAACAACTTAAAAAAAAAAAAAACATAATAACCTCAGTTTCTTTCAAGTAGTTTTTTCAACCATGATAAAATTAATAAAGTGAGGCAGATTTTATTTCCAAAGATGGTTGCAAACAATATCTCCCATCCCACACACTCTTATTATACCATAAACTCTAACACTCCTCTTATCAAATGGTTGGTTCTATGTAACCTTCTTTTGAACCCGGATAGACTACAGTAACTACTTTGTCCAAAAGAGAATAGCTGAGGCGATGCAAATTCTGAGACTAGTCATAAAAATATCATGTATTTCTCCTTATCTCTTGGGTCACTATAAGAACCCAGAGCCAGGTTGTGAAGAAGCCCTCATGATCCCACAAAGAAAATACCCAGAGATCACAATGCAGTACTTCCAATTAACAGCCTAGCTGAAGCCCCAGATGACTGACTGCATCTGAAGAAAGGAAAAGACATTTAGAGATATTTATTCTAAAAATAGCAATGTACCCTGTTGTATATTCCTGCAATCTGTGCTTCCTTGAGCAAGTTGTTGAATAACCACAACGATGGTTACATCATCAAAAGTATAATGTTTGTTGTGAGGGTTAAATGAGATTACACACATCAAGTGCTTTGTAAACAATAGTTTTATACAAATATAAAGTTGTGCACCTTCCAAGCTATCACTCCAACACACATTTATTCAACTAAAACAAAACATCTTTAAAAATATTTTAACAATGTACAAATACATTCACAACATAATCTGCTGATTAAAAGACTCTGCAACAAAGTTTCTAGTACCTACAACAAAATTTACAACTGCCTACAATAATTTGTAGATTGGTTTACAGTTAAATATATTGCCTTGTTTAAGAAATATTATTAATACAAAGGTATGGTTTACAATATCACCATTATAGCAAGAAAAAATAGATTCATATAATGTCTTTAGGCATTTATTATGCCAAGTATTTAAATGATTATTCTTACTATGACATAAGAACAATATTCATTTAGTACTAAAAGATTTTATTAGTCCAGAGACCACTGAAGAGTTTCCAGGAAGTTCCAAAATAAAATCTGACTATCCTTTCCACGAAATAACTAGAACAGCAGCAATCCCTTGGGTATCCCTTAAACATAAACTATAAAGATTCCTTTTATTATTTAGGCCTTAAGTAAAAAAATAAATTTTAGAAACTAGTTAACACTACCAGCTTGAATTTGGTTTTCACTTGTGCATGTCTAAGGTAAGCAATTTCAACATAAAGTATTTATTTAACAGTTTTTTTTAATTTTTAACTCATACACAAGCCAAGTGTTTACTCTTAATCATGGAATCAACTTATTTCTGAAAATAACCTACAGAAATAGTATGTAAACACACATACCTTTGACTAAGAACATTCTATTTTCTATGGATCAAAATGCAAATATCTCTGTAACATATGTAAACTAACACATTAATTTGGGATATATGGATACTTTACTATATGCATACATATGTACACCATAAAATAAATTCTGACAATGTTTTTAATGATATCATACTTCCCAGCCTCAACTACTAGAAAAAATAAAAATAAAAACTTTGTTTAAAAAAAAACAGTTTTCATAGTAACTTTGTAAGTGAAAACAAAACAACAACAACAAAAAAACAATGCTCCTCTTTGCAACTGGACTGAGCTCTAAACAGTTCATAATCAAGAATCTCTTTGGCCATTCCCCAATATCACAGAAAACATAATTTTCTCTCTATTCAAGAAGTCTGTTCATTTCCGGTGTTCTGCAAAATAGAAAAAAATCCTTAATATTCAGTTATTTCACTTCATATATACCAGGGATTTCAAAGCACTAAACCTAGAAAATATTGTACCTTTGTAAATAGAACCTGTTACTCTATTACACTGTATGTAATAGCCCACCATGTCAAAAAGTGGATATGTTACAGATTATTCATTTTTTTTTTTTTTGTAGTATGGGGAAAATGAACCCAGCAAATGAGATTATCCACTCAGATGTTCATCTTATCTCACAGAACAGAGTGCCACCAGGTGCCATGTAAGACTCTAACCCTATACATGTTATGCTAGGCACATGGTTCAATTTCACCTATATTCAAAATCCCCCTCCACCTTCAGACACATGGAAAAATCCCAAGGGGGAAAAAACTTAAAAAGCACACACATGAAAATTACCCTAAGATGGGCCACAGTGAATTCTTTTACTTGGGGCCAAGCAGAAATACTTTAGGAAGAGAATCACGACCCTAAATAGAATATTCATTTTCTTGACCTCTTATCTTAAGAGCAACAGTATAGTAGAATAAAGAAAAATGAATTTCTTGTGTAGAGGGCTGGGTTCAAGCCCTAGCTCTGTTCTACCTATTAGCTTTATATTCTGAAGTAAAACAATCTCAGGCTTTAGTTATCCAAAGCATAATCTCTGAACTAGAAACTTGTTAGAAATGCTAATTTTAAGACCATCTACCTCCCTCCAGATCTACTGAATAAGAAACCTTAAGAATGGAGCCCAGGAATCTTTGCACTCTAGGTGATTCTGATGCCTGCTGGAATTTGAGAACCACTGCCCTATATTCAATACTTACCCAGCCTGCTGCACTAACAAATGTAAGCTGTGACTCATACAAAGACTCAGTCAATTTGCCCCAAGAGATTTAATCAGTAACTGTTCAACAAAATGACAAATCACACTGAAAATCTGAATTTATATCCTTATATTGGGGACTGCAATACAATCTTTATGTTATAGGGGAGAGTATCATTCTCATATTTCAGTGACAATATGCCTTTTAAAAACCTCATTTGAGAAGCATTTCATAAAAATTAAATTAAAAAATTTAAAAAAACATTTCATTAGTCACTGGTCATACCCAGAAAACACTTACTTGTTTTAAAAACTGCTTTCCAAGATACGAGGTAGCCATGCTGGTTAAATTCTTCCGGCTGCCCACTTTGCACCTGATATAACCATACAGGTTGGCACCCTGTAGTACCACACCCATGATAACCACAGCCTGGGATCAGGGAAAAATAACACAATGGTTACTGACCTAAAATTAACTTTTCTCTTAAGTCATAAATGAGACAAGGCAGATTTATGGTGAGAAAGGAAAGGAAAAAGGAAGCAGGGGTTGTGCCAAGGAGCACGATCTAATATCAAACTACCAGAAGAGGCCTGATATATGTTCTGTACAAGGAAGTGGGTTATTCACTCATATTCACTCTGTTGCCACTACTCAATTCTGTTGAACACAACTGCTACATATGCAAGCTCTATGTCACACCTGGTGAACACAGTGGAGGGGAGGACCTTCTCTCTAGGTCCTAAAAAAGGCATAAGGAAAAGTAAGTGAAACTAGAAAAGACTAAAATGTTACTTGTTCCTTTAAGAATCACAAAAGAACAGTCAAGAAGTAGTCAAGTTCAATAACCTGAAAGTAGGCAAAAATGGAATCTCTACTCTATGCTAATATATGTGATTGGATCCTGGGCAAGTTGACTAGGTGACCTAAGGCAGCAACGAACAGGGGTTTGTTTTTGCCTTCAGAGCAAAGAGAGATGAGCAGGAAGAAGTATATTTCTGCAAAGCTGCTTATTCCTTGTGATCACATCAGGAATCCTATAGTGACTCAGACCACTAAAAATTGAGAATAAGAAATTCACACCCTCTCTTTAAATATTTAAGGGAGAAAAATTAATTAGCACAATGTGAGGAAGCTTCAAAGTTAGGTATTCTAGAAGTTTCTCTGTAAAGAGCCAGATAATAATATTTTAGTCTCTGTTGCCACTACGCAATTCTACTATTTTGGCCCCCAAAAGCCACAGTAAATGTAAACAAATGGGCAAGGCTGTGTTCCAATAAAAATTCACAAATTGTTGGGTTGGATTTGATCTACAAGCCATAGTAGGCCAACCCTCTTCCACAATAAACAACTCATCAACCCTTTTACTATTAAAAGTATCATTCAGGAGATGTTTACATCTATGAAAGGCAAAGAGGCTAAATGAAATCTCATTTTCCAATCCAGACTTTTTTTTTTCCTTTCTTCTTTCTTATTTGAGGTGGGATCTCATTTAGTTGTTCAGTTGGCCAGGCTAGCCTCAAACTTGCAATTTTACTTCCTTAGCCTCCCTCCAAGTAGCTGGGATTAAAGGCATAACTCACTGTACCTGGCTTCAGGCTTCTTCTCTTAAACTCTTAACAAATAGTATAGCTGATTTTAAGCAAGTGAGAGAATTTGTTTTTTGGCAGTCCTGAGGATCAAACCCAGGGCCTTGCATGTGCTAGGCAAGTACTTTATTCCCCATTCTAAGAAGATTTAAATCTTTAAGGAACTGGTTCAAGTGTTCCTAGTAAAAAAGGTAGAGCTGGTACCCTCTGTTATAAGGTTGCTACTTATCTAAATAAACATACATCTTATTTTTTTTATTTACATGAATCTACTTTAACTTCCATGTTCCTCAACTGGAACACTCCCAGGTACATATATACCAACATGCAAGGGGCACCTGAATTCAGACTAAACATGGTTCTGCTGAGGCACCAATTTTTATTCAACAGCAACAAATTTTTAAAAGTTAAAACATGCAGACTTCTGGTTTAAGACAGTGTAAAAAAGTCAGACATGAACATTTCCCCATAAGATAGTCAGTACAGTACAAGTGTTAAAAAAAAGCAAATAAGTCAATACCTGTACCAGTAAACACAAAAAAGGACTGGTGATCAGAAAAAGAGGAAGTATGACACGGCTTTGCAGAAATTTTAAGGGAAATTACACTAATAATTACCATCCCCAACAAAGAGAGAAAAAGAACTGAGGACATAGCTGCCCTAAGAAATAATGCAAAAATAGCTATGAATACAAAAACTCCCACCAAGCAAGGAGGAAATACCAACAGCTGATATTTCCCTGAAAGAAGCAGAAGAGAAAGTATAGGAGGACCAGCAACCACTGACCATCTTAAAAACGCCCAGAAAGAGGGAAAAGACTGATGGAGAGTCTGGGTGAAGCCTCCTCCTGTCCTATGCTATGGTCTTAACCATAGGACCAAACCATGTTTCACATAATAATTTCCTATTGTTTTAGAGAAGTAGAAGCACTGCTAGAGCAAGTCTGGGCTGATTCTCCTGGATGGTGCTAGAGCTACAGAATCTCACAAATGATCTAAATAAAGCGGGAGTACAGAACCAGAGTAGGGTCCACAACAGCTCCACTCCAAAAAAGAAGGCAAAACCCAAGCAAGGCAGCTAAATTGTGTGGGCAATCCTCCTCAGGCCGGCACCTTCAGGCCACCAAATAGCATTCAAACTCTAGCTCAAAGCAGCAGCAATAGTTATAGAGAACATGGGAATGGAGTCGAGGGAAATTCAATCGCACTAAAGTGGCAGAAAAGGAAGATCTGGAGAGAGCTGCCACTATGAGTATCAGCAAAAAGAAAATGAGAAAAGGGAAAGGCATCTCTGCAAAACTTCAGGAAAAAAAAAAAAAAGACAATTAAAAAAAAATAACACATTCTGCAAAAGACCAGTGAAGAATCTATTCTGAAAGAAGTATAGGTCATCGGGGGTCACATTGTGGCTCTGCGGTAGAGCACTCACCTAGCATGTGTGAGGACCTGGGTTCAATTTCAGCACCACATAAAAATAATAAAATAAAGGTATTGTGTCCAATTACAATTAAAAAATAAATATTTTTTTAAAAAGAAGTACAGGTCATCAAAATAAATGCATTCCTGGAAATACTTCATCCTAATACTAAGATCCTACACATAAGAATTCTTAGCATGAAACTAAGACAATAGGAGATGAAAGGAGTAGGCAGATCGAGGAAATACAAATACTCCATTCCAGACCCCTAATCTAATGTAGCTGCTGCTATGTCTGAAGCACTCCACTCAATTCCTGGTATCACTGTCTAACATCTCCTATTATGTCTTTTTTTTTTGTCTGTAAACCTTTTACTGAAATATAAGCTCTATCAGAGCAATTGTCTGGCTTACATGGCCCCAAACAGTATTCAATGCCCAAAAACAACTCTGATATATGGTGAACTCTTAAAAATATCTGCTGCATGAATAAACAGAAAAGAAAAAGATGAATGATTAAAACAATTAGAAGGCAGCAGATGAGAATAGATATAAAATGATACAAGACAGAAACAACTGGTATCTTGAAATTAGACAAATGAAAAAAACTGAACATAGATTTAAAAATTTAACCAAAGTCAATTTTCCTGATTCAAAGCAAAACTGGAGTCTGAAAATAAGAAGGAAACATAAGTTACAGAAAACTTAATATAGAGTGAGAAAGACATATCCTGGTTATGATATTTAAAAACTTCAAAAAAAAAAATTCTTCAGAGCCAGGTGCAGTGGCACATGCCTATAATCTCAGGAGAATCGTGAGTTCAAAGCCAACCTCAGCAACAGCAAGGCACTAAGCAATTGCAAGGCTGTCTCTAAATAAAATACAAAATAGGGTTGGGGATGTGACTCAGTCGTCAAGTGCCTCCGAGTTCAATCCCTGGTACCATCCCCGCAAAAAAAATTCTTCAGAGAGAAAAATGATTCACTCCTCACACACAGAGTAGGTAATCCTAGTATTACAGTGTGGTGGATCTAGAATGTCCCCAAAAGGCTGTTAAAAGCTTGGTCCCCAATGAAACAGGTTAGGAAGTGATCTGGGAAAGTGATTAGATCATGAAGGCTCTAACTAACATCACCAGTGGATTGATCCACTGACAGATTCATAGCTGACTGAATTATTGGGAGGTAGTAGGAAGAGTAGGAGCTAGGACCTAACTGAAGGGAGTGGGTCCTTGGAGATATGCCCATGGGGACTATATTTGGTCTGTCAGTCCATCTTATGTGTATGTGTATATGTGTGTGTGTGTGTGCGTCTCCCCCTCTCTCCCTCTCCCCCCCTCTCTCTCTCTCCATGGACTAAACCTCTGAAACGGAAAACCAAAATAAATGTTTCTTCATTTGAGTTGTTCTCATATTTTGTTACAGCAACAGAAAGCTGTTTAACATACTAGCATCAGATTTCTCTAAAACATAAAAGAAAATATGGAAAAACTCAATGACGTTATCTTCAAGAACAGTCCAATAAACTCACATTCTTAGATATGAAAAAAAAAATCAAAGAAAAAGCAAATCTACATATTCTTTTCAAAAGAATGTACTATAGCTAACCAAGCAGTAAAAAAGAAGCTGAAATAAAAGAACTAGAAGTGGACACTGAATTGATGTATTAAAAAAAATATAGATCAAAAACTGAATAACCAATAAGAAATATTACTTCAAAGGGCAATTGTTCTAAACCTTGACAACACAAAAATATCATTGGAACAAACAATAAAGGAAGAAACACAGGAAAGAATAATAAGAGTGTTTATTTTGGTCCCTTTCTAAACAGTTTATTGGTCAATAAACAGATGTGAGTATACTACCTCATGTTATAAAACTAACCACTTGAAAGAACTAAAGTACAAATTTAATGGACAAAATTCAGAAATGAAATCATGAATGTTAACTTTCTTATCTTCCATATCAGGAAATTAAAAAATATTCAAAATTCACAAATTTTGAGTAAATTTCCTAATTCATGAAAGAGGGTTATAACTATATTAAGTAGTAAAGATGAATAATAGAAAATCAATAATAAAGCATCCAAAGCATAATAAGGAAAGTTATGAATGTCACAAAGAAAAAAAGAACTTACTAAAAATTGTAGGAAAAACATAATTCAAGCTAAAATTTATCTGACATCAATAAATGTTAAGTGGAAACAAACTCAATGGTTATAAGAACAAGACTCATAATTTGAGTCAAGTGTCAGACTGTATCTTCCAAAGATGGCAGCAAGAGTATTTCCTGTTCTACAACTCTAGAACTTTCTTAGTCTCCCAATAAGAGGTAGAGCCTAATTTATATTCCCTTGAATGTGAATGGTGACAAAGATGATGCTGTGATATCTCAAACTATGCTGAAAAGAGCAATTCAGCTTGCAAGCTGAACCACCAAATGGAATCCTGACCCTCCGTCCAAGCAGCCCAACTGCCATAAGGCCACCATTCTGTGAAGAAGTCCAAACTAAGCTACACAGAGGGACATGTGGGGAGGCACAAACCCTCATGAAGAGGAGATGTTTTATGTCCTCAAGCTTCTCCCACCACTATATGACTGCAACTGAGACCCCAAGCCTTAATCTCCAGAAGAACCCTTCCTAAGGTCCTCACCCAAGAACTATGAGATAAAAAGATGTGTTGTTCTACATCACAAAGCTTTTGGGTGAGGGCTGGGGATGTGGCTCCAGCAGTAGCACGCTCGCCTGGCATGCGTGCGGCCCGGGTTCGATCCTTAGCACCACATACAAACAAAGATGTTGTGTCCGCCGAAAAACTAAAAATAAATAAATAAATATTAAAATTCTTTCTCTCTCTCTCAGCTTTTGGGTGATCCACTATGCAGCAACAAGTAATCAGAACAGGTTGCCAATCAACATTTTTCAAGGGGGAAAAAACCCTACTATTATAGGCACTAATATCCTAGAAAATTGGTGGAATTGGGGTACAGGATCTACTCTCCAATGCTTAAGAGAGTAGATTAAGAAAAAAAGCAGTTAGGAAATATAACCTGGGAAATATAAGATGAAGCTGCCTATTCAAGATAGGTCTCTAATAACAGCATAGTGGATTATTCCAAAGTTCTACACAGACACTTACCAACCATTTTACTCTGAAGGAGAAGAGAGCACTAAAGGCAAATATCACCCACAGTATTGGACAGGCAATTAGTCCTAACCAAAAGATTCTTGATTCAGCTTCTGAAACAGTTTTATTCTCCTGAGGAGATGCCTACAAAAAAATAAAAAATAAATAAATTCACTCATCACTGATCTAAGATTTATCAGTACAAAGTCTAACGTTAAAAAAAAAAAAAAAGAAACCCCCAACACAAAGATTAATACAAACAGCTCAAGTCCCAAGTTAAACCAAAAAATCAGTTAATGGCTCTACCAAAATTGTAATTTTAGGAAACGATTTTAGTATGCTTTGTTCTAGTTCCAGAATTTTGCAGATTCGGGCAAAATAGACAGTTTATCATGACTCAAAATAGTAAACAATTGTCTCTGGTAGATTTCTACTCGATTCTTCTTACACTCGTGCTGTTCATTCATGAGGAAGATTTGAATGATGTATTTTTAGACAAAAATCAAGGAAATCAAGTTTACAGTCATCCTTGAGATTTAAAATGTCAAGTCAGGTCCACAGAAAAAAAAATGAAAACAAGGGATTCTGAATAATGACCAAAATGTCTCAGCAAGTTAGGAAACTAGAGGGCAACGTTTTTTCCAAGGTAGATTTTATAATATTAAGGAATATGGCCTCACTGAGCACAGTGCCACTCTCTGGTAAGTCTCACTTGTCAAGGCTCTTCCAAGCAGAAGGCAAGCAATTTAACAGGTACCATTTCCAAGAATTTTGTCCTCTGCCCCTCAAACTGATTTTTACAAGGGAACAGAATGTTCACTAGAGTAACAGACTAATCCAAAATAGACAAGGGTTCCCCACGGGTCCTAAGGGCACAGACTTAAAAAAAGAGACACATCAACTGAGATTTTTCTATCGACCTACAATCCTTTTTTCTGCTCACAAGTGTCTTTGCCCATGGGAGCAGTTATCTGCTATACATAGAGGGATGAAGATACCCAGGATGGTGATCAATCTGGGGGTCATCAGAAAGAAACCCTTGATAAGCAGTTTGGCATGCTGAATAAACTCTGACTCAGTGTCCTCTTGGAGGATTCTGTCCTGTATACACCTTATTTTCAGTCTGAACTAGACAGAAAAATGTGTATGTTTTGGAAGGCCATCTGGTTTAGTACTGACATGGCAAATGATGTGGGGTAGTACTTTTAATCTTGAATACTTAATCCTTAAATATTCAAATCTACACAGAATGTATTAGATGACACTATTAATAACAAAACAACAATTCCAAAAAAAGGCAGCTTACCTTCCTGGACTCAAACACCCAATGACTCTTTCCATCCTCATCAATATGATTCCACCACCGAAGGCCTACCATCAGTCTACCTGTGACATTCTAGGGAAGATTAATATAAACACACACATTTTAAAATCATTATTTAAAAGCACTATAAAATCATACCTTAATGCAACATTTCACAAACAAATCTTCATTAACCTCCAAACATGCTCCATACATTCATTATTACCTCCATAACAGCCCGTTCACAAAGCTACATAATAGCTATGTATCAGACCTGGTTAAAAATAAATAAATAAAATGGCAATGGCATAATCAACAGGAGCAGAATTACAGGGTAAGCAGAAGTCTATCCATAAATAATACCTTCCTCATTTCCCTCAAGAACATTTGTCCTTTTCCCAATTTCTTAATGTTTTCCCCTGCTCTTTGGCTAATGTGACCTACCTTTTCCCATCATAATATGTATATTTTAAACAGGACATTCCTAAAAATGATTTTAAGCACTGGCTTTCATTTGGTCCCTCAAATACACTAAGTTCTCTTCTTGCTTATTAATGAAACAAATTACTTTGATAGTTTTCCTAATGTTTTGTTTATTCAACAAATATTTCCTAAGCACCTAGAAAGTGCTGTACCAAAACAACGACAAACAGGTACTTCCCCTGTCCCCATGAAGCTTCAAGGGAATAGAGCCAACTGTGATCAGAACTGTGAGAGAAGTTTAGAATACTTTTGAGTATAACAGGGAATTGGATTGAATCTGGGTATCAGACAATGATTTCCCAAGGAATCAACATTTGTAATGAATAAGCAGTAATGTGTCATGGAGGGTATGTTTAATTGGTGGTGTTCACCAATAAGATTCAGGATTTCTATGAACTTGGGTGGAAAAAAATATATATTTCTTCATTTTCATCAACCTCTGGCTTAAGTTTAGCATACCTTTAACTTATAAAGTGTAGACCAAAAAAACACAAATGCAGGTAGAATTAACAAAACCCATATCTTTGTTACAATAAACACCAGATATTTTTCATTTTGTACTATACTTGTTGTAGACATCTCAACGTATTGTTTATGCTCATCACTACCTTCAAAATGGTAAGACCTGCCACTAGGTCTTACTATTAACGTGATCATAAAGTACACACTTCTAAATCAGAAATTTCTGCAGATGCTCAAGTCCCTTATATAAAATAGCACAGTAATTGTATATAACCTATTCAAATATTCCCATATACTTTAAATTAGCTCATATAAGGTAAATGCTACATAAATAGCTGTTATGTTGTACTGTTTATGGAATAATGACAAGAAAAAAGTCTGTGTTCAGCACAGATGCAATTATTTTTTTCTGAATATCTTTGATACAGAGTTAGTTGAATACATGCACATCCCATGGATACAGATAGCTGACTATATTTTCAATTAAGTGATTTTTGTAATCTTATGTATTTTTCTTTTATATATTTAAAAACATTATTCATAGCTTCATGACACCATAAAGAGTCCATAACACAGAAAAAAAGATTAGAAATTCCTGTATTAAAGTAATGCGGGAACAAAACAAGCACCCAGAGAGAGTAGTAGGTATAGCATCCCTAAGGAAGAAAAGTAGAATGTATTAAAACTTATGACTAGGGCTGGGGATATAGCTCAGTGGGTAGAGTGTTGCCTTGTATGCACAAAGCCCCAAATTCAATCCCCAGCACCACACAAAAAAATAAATAAAAAATAAAACTTGATGACTAACTGGATAGATATGCAGTCGGAAGCTACTCCATATACTTCCATGTTCCATTTTCTAATTCTTTTGCTTTCTCTTATCTTTATTAGTTTATTTTTCTGAATTTCTCTCAGGCTTGTTTTTGTTTTTGAAACTTCTGGACCTAAAAGTCGATTATTTTCATTCTTCTCTAATAATACAAGCCTTTAATCTACTGACTTTCCTCTAAATTCAGTTTTAGATATATTTTAAGAGTTTGATATAGATGATCATCATAAGATATAAATAATCTATAATTCCAGTTTCATTTTTAAACCAAGATATTTAGCAAGTTAACTTTTTTAAAGAAACTCCAATTTAGTAACCTTTTTTTTCCCCCTTGGCTTTATTTTACTAGACCAGAAAATATAGATGCTTTCACAATTTATCTGGAATTTCTTCATAGGGATATTAACCAACTTTTGCAAATGTTCTACCGGCACTAATGAGAAGTTATTATCTCTGGATATACAAAGTTCCAAAAACTACAATTAAACTGGCTTTGTTAATTACTATCCAGATCCTTTAGGCCTTATTTTTTGTCACTTCATTCTGTCAAAAACTCGTTTCTTAATACTCCCATCACAATGTTTCCTTCATTTCCACCTAGTATTTTAATGTTAGTTTGATATAATTTTATTCTATGAATGATCTTCACTGATTCATGATTTTGTTCCATTTAGTGCTTTTTTAAAAAAATTTTTAATTGTTCTCTGTGGTTATACATGACAGTATAGTATATTTTGACCTATTTATACAAACATGGGATATATCTTACACTAATTAGGATCCCAGTCTTGTGGTTGTACATGATATGGAGATTCACTGTGGTGTATTTATATATATACACAGGAAAGTTAAGTCAGATTCATCCCACTATTTTTCCTCTACCTGTCCCCCTTCCCTTTCCTTCATTCCCCCTTTGTCTAATATACGGAATTTGTATTCTTCCCCTCCCCCTTTGCTATGTGTACATATCGGGAGAGAACAAATATCTCATGAAGGACCAAAGGTTGCCTCTAGTTGAAAAAATAATTGCCCAGGAGCACCCATAGGAACCTCTGCAAAAAGTGGGTACTTCTTAAGTATTTGTATAGCAACTATACAAAGCTTTATGGAGAAATTATACATAGCACACCTGCAAATTACCCTGAAGCAAAACCAGTGGTATGGATTAGAAACAATATGTAAGGTCTATGGTTGTCAGTAACCATCTGTTTACCTACCTTCATAGTTAATAAAGGCTGTCATATAGCACAGACAACTCAGTAGTGTAATAACCTACATGTGATCAGAAGGTCTGAAGTAATAAAAAGATAACATCAATCCAAAATGCCTAATCTCATATTGTTTGCTGCTTATACATATTCAAACTCATATGAAATATAACTTTAATAAAAACAAACTTACCTTCACTGCCCAAAAGTCACATGACAACAACAAGATAATTGTCACCATACAGGCAATAAAGCTGCTGCTGAGCAATTCACAGAGAAGATAGACTATAATGGCACTGACTCGGAAGAACAAATGGAAAAATGATGCCACTGGATGTCTGGAAACCAAAACATAAGAAAGGCAATTACAATTTACTATAAGTACTTTCAGATTTAGATGACAAATGGTTCAGCCATGGCATAGCCATGAAGAGTTCTGTCAAAATAAGAGATAACTTAAAGCAGCAGCAAACCACCTACCTCTCTTAAGACCCACTATTTGAAGAAGCCCTCTGTTGCAAAAAAAAAAAAAAATGTACTATGTAATCATAACTATTACGTCTATGAACATAAATTTTTATAGAACACAAAAAAGCAACTTTACCTAGCTTGGATTACCAAATCATGCCAAAACAATTCCTCCAAAATCACTTCAGGAATTAAGTCACTGTTAGATACAGTGTTTTCATTTTTTACCAGCTTTAATTGGGATATGATTCATACATAACAACCTACATAAAAGTGTACAATTTAATGGATTTTAGTATATTCACAGAGGTGTGTATTCATTACTACAATCAGAAAAAAAAATCCTCTGGCAATCAGACAGCTAACCATCTCAGTCCTAAACAATCAAAAAACTATTCTTTGTCTCTACAGATTTGCATATTCTAGGCACATCATATAAATAAACCCATACAACATTTGGTCATTTGTGACTAGTATCTTTCACTTAGCATAATGTTTTCAAAACTGGGTAGAACTGCCGGGAACAGTAGCACACACCTATAATCTCAGCGGCTCAGGAGGCTGAGGCAGGAGAATCGCAAGTTCAAAGCCAGCCCCAGCAATGGTGAGGCTCTAAGCAATTCTACAAGAGGCTGTCTCTAAATAAAATACAAAATAGGGCTGGGGATGTGGCTCAGTGGTTGAGCAGCCCTGAGTTCAATCCCCAGTATCCCCCCCACAAAAAGAAGAATATAAATACACGTTACTTATATAATTCTCAAATTTGCACAAAAATCAAAGTGTAACTTACTTATAGAAATTATGTTTTAAAATGGTGCATTCTTGGAAAAACAGCTAGCACAGAATTTAAAACTGATGAATATTCACTGGGGAATGAGATTGATCAAATATATTTTAAATATACATTCACATAATAGATTCTAATATGTATAATTACAATGCACCAATTGAAAAAAAAACAGTATTCAAAAAATTGAACTTGCTAATTTGAAAACTCAGTATTAACATTCCATATGCCAATTATTCCCAAGAAAATCTGAAGTTATCTTTGTCTGACACTAAATCAAACTAGCAACATAGAATTAATAAACACATTGCAACCACTGCCTTGAATCTCATCAGCTGGCACCAACATGGACACCACAGCACTGGGCACCAATACAACCCATCTAACTTATCCCCATACCGGATTTTGGATTTTCTTGGTCTATTAGTTGTCTCTTCTTCTGCATCAAACAATGAAACATCTTCAGTGTCATCATTGCTGTCCTAGGAGGAACATTAAATATCCATGAAGCAAAATGAAATTCAGTATTTACATTCCTACTATATACAAGGCTGATCACTTGTTAAAATGGAAGATAAAATTACACAGACATAACATCAGAAATTCACAACTTAGGAGACACCTGCAGACCCTCTACTACCCTACCACTCCAAACACCTGAAAAATACCCCTGCATTCAGGAATCAACTGTCTCCATCTCAGCAGCTGGGAGAAATTATACATAGCACATATGCAAATTACCCTGCAGCAAAACCAGTGGTATGGATTAGAAACAATGGAGTGCAGATGATGTGCCTACAAATTTAACATTTATTCTCAGAACTCTCACAACTGTCACAGAAACCTAAAGCTACTGGGAATAAACTCAATTTTTTTGGCTCCTTCACAAAACCATCTGACACATCCTTATTTCCATGACTCCTCACAATGCTATTATCTGATAATAGCTGGCTAAACCCACTATTTGTGATTATATTCCCTTTTCATGCTTCCTCAGAAGCTTTCCATCATTTTATTTATACTTTCTTGTGTCTTTATACATTTTTACCGAGTCTTTTTAAGAATATAAACTTCTTCAAGTGCCACTTACAGTGCAAAAAAAGATTTTAAAAACCCTGATCCCCTGTCTTCTACTTTCCCACTGCACTCCTTTCTTCACAGATGTAGGATTCTCAAGAGTGGTTCATAGTCTAACCTATTTCTACTCCTGTTAAGCCTCAACCACAACCCTGCTCACTGTGCCTTCCTAGTGCCACTCACCAGCCTCCCTGCCTTTATTTCTAGTCTCATTCCCACTACTCCATTCTAGTCTCTTCTCCACATAACCCACAGAGCAATCATCCACCGTGGAAATCATATCATGTCACTACCCTGCTAAAACTTTTCAATTGTGCCCCTCCACATACAGGATAAAATAACTTCCTCACATAAAGCACACATCACATGATCTCCTACTAATCTTCCAACACTCTCTCCCACTAGACCCTGCAGCAATACATTTACTATATGGTCTCTCCTACCTTTCTTTCATATTTTCATTTTTTTTCTACTCAAAAGCGCTTCCCTTCCCCACCTCCTCTCCATCTTGCAGTTATTAGTTCTGCATTCTCAAATTATATTTACTATAGTAAAAAAAAATGTGTATAACAGATTTGGGGGTAAATTAAAAAGTCTGATTTTGAGCACATTAAGATATAAGAACTATATAAAAAAATTTGAGAGGGGTAACCTTTAGTGTTATGAGCAATGGACTAACACATTCAGACTCCTAAGAAAATTCCTGCTGCTATATGAAGAATCTGGAGGGTAAAGAGGGTAGGGGAAGAAATAAAAGCATAAAACTAGAAAACTGGTTGGGAGCCTACTCAAAAAACGAAGCCAAGAAGTAAGGGGCTGTTCCAGGGTAAATGCAGTGGAGATGGTGAAAAGTGGGCAGATTCCAAATACTTAAGAACTGACAGGATTACCTGATGGGCTAAATATGGAGTTAATATAAGTAAAATGTCAAGGAAGATTCCAAAGTTTTTGTCTGAATAGTTAAAAGGAGATGCCAAATATAGACTCTGGACACCCCAATATTTTGAGTAAAAAATGTGAGAATAAACAGTGGGAACTAAGGAGTAGTACTAAAAAGAGTGGTAGGTAACCCAAGAGAAGGTAATGATCTGGAAGGCCCAGGAAGTGTTTCCAGGAGAATTCAATTTTGTCAGATGTTCTTAACAAGTAAAATGAAAACCAAAGTGACTACTATATTTTGAATAGTTGACCTCAATAAGATCAGTTTCAGAACAGAAGGGGAAGGGGTTGAAAAGATGACTAGAACTGACAGAATGGGGTGACAGTTGAAAGGCTATGTGGGCATAAGTTTTTATTGTTGAAGACAGGAGAAATTAAAGCATGTTTACATGCAAATGTGAACTAGCTTATCAATTTGAGGGTGAGGGGAGGGGACTGGCAATGCAAGACAAAAGAACTGCTGCAACAATGCTTTGCAAAGGGCAGAAGGGGATGGTCAAAAATAAAGCACAGACAGTTCAATTATAAAATACAAGTGCAATTATGGGTAAAAATGCAAATAGGTAGGCAGGTGGTATGAAAATTCTTTTCTAATTACTTCCATTTCTCAGTGAAACAAGAAGCAAGATTACCAGCTGAGAGAAGACAGGGGAGGAAATGTTGAAGGACTGAGAAAAGTTTTAGTGCACAAGTTGCAAAAGAAGGAGGTTGCTGACACAGAATGCAGGGTTGTCTGGCAGCATGAAAGACTAATTTGAGGTTCACAATCACAAACTTATAAAGTAGAAACAACTGACATAGTTTTGTCTATTTCTTCAGCCTCATTAGCCTGGGTGCAAATTTACAGAGCTGAATTTAAATCACCACTGGATTTTCTCAAGTCACCCTGTAGTAGTCTTTTCTGACCATAAATCCTAGTTATCCTAACTTCAGATACATGCTATTTCATCACCTCGACTTTGCTATTATAATCTGAAAGTAACTTAGGTTATTTTACTTATCACATCTCCCCTCCCTACCTGCTTTATGCCTCATTTCCTTGAATCCACCCACCCCGAACCTGACAATGCAGGAAAAGAAACCTATCTACACTTTTCACATCCCTATCCCTGGAACCCAGAACAGTGCCTAAGCTACAATTCCTCGGTAAATTGTGAAACAAAAGAAAAAAAAAAACTAATATAATCTAAATGGAAGTACCCTATAAACAGTAATTTTTTAAAGGGGGACATTATTAAAGTACACTTACTAATCTCCAGTCGAAAACCTCTGGACCACAATTACACTTTAAGGGCACAAACGCGATAATCAATATCAATGTGGTAACAGCTACCTGAACGCAAGGCTCTGCCAGCGTCTCCTATTCCTACAGGATTGCAGGGCACCCCTACAGGGAGGCTCACAAGGGAGCTGAAGAGGTGCCGAGAGGCCGCTCCCCTTTCACCTCCTCGCGTGCACGACTACGCGCCGAGGAAAAAGACCACCCGCACCCCACCATACAGAGCATTTCTGCAGCCTAGCATCGGAACCGCCCAGCGCCGGGCGTTGGTTGAGGACCGGCTTCTCCTCTCCACACCCCCAAGCTTCCCGAGCTCGGCGACTCCTGGGTCACTTCTTCTACCAGGGCCTCCGAGCACCCAGAACACTCCGGGACAATTACCCTCGGTCCTCCATTCCCTCCCAGCCACCCCGCTCTTCCTCAAGAAGGACAGCCGGAGGGGACACAAACACAACCGCCCCTGTGCGCCCGGCTCACTCCACAAACCCTCCAGGAGGGACCCTCCCACCCGCCAAGCCTCGGCCACCCGCTCTCCGCGCCCACAGCCCCTCACCTGAGACAACATGGCGACCGTGCGCCAACCCCACTTCCGGGAACCACGTCAGCGCCCCAGCTGTCAAGTCCGATCTGCAACTTACGTGGCCTCTTCCCTACAATCCGGGAGTGGCCCATATACAGCCCTAGCCCGACTTGGCTTCCCGGATACACTTCCGCTTCTAGGAGTCTCGCGGGAGGAGCATCACCGGGAGGGGAGGTGCAAGGGGCTATTCCGGGGCGGGGCGATCCCGGGCAGGGCGAGAAGTGCTGGTGGGTTCTGGTCCGAGTAGAAGCAAAAACCCGCTGGGAAAGAAGCCCGTTACCACAGTTGGCGCTAAGGAAAAGTTACGTGGTTTCTTAAAGGAAAACGTGTTTCGCGGCGATGAAGTGCAAACTGTGAAGTCATTCTCTCCAAGGCCGATACCCTGAGTGCAAGAGGGCCGGGTTTTATTCCATGGCATTTAACTTCGTTGGAATATTTGACAGTGACCTGTATTTCTGAATAGTACTACTTTTGCGCTTTGAATTTTAGAAGCAATTGGAAAAGTAAAGGTGGCGTTGGGAAGGGATAAAAAGTTAATCAAATCAATGGAAATAACCTGATGACGGTTGAGGACGACGTGCGACCTGGCGTTTGGGCGCCTGGATTTCAGCCTCCTGCCCTTATTACCAATTAAATAATCAACCTCTCTGTACTTTTTTCCTTGATTTTAAAGTAGAAGTGACGATAGCATCCTTACAGGGTATTTAGTGAATAGGAGAGGGTTGCTGTTTTAAGTCCAGCCATTGATGGAATGATCTTGCCAAAGTTCAGGGGCCTTAAAAAAAAGTCAATTTTGAAACTAGAATGATGGCATTCTTTTGTCGGGCATAAGTCAGACTGCTGTTGGAAAGTTCATGAGGTAATGTATATTCTCAGATGAACTTGAGGGACTTCTTTTCATTAAAACCATAAATGTTTACAAAGTTATTTGTAGTGCTATTTCAAACCTAATATCTGAATGTGAAGACACCTACCCCCACCCCCATGCACACCTATTTCCCAAGGAGAGAAAGCTTGACAAAGCAACTGCATGCTTGCACATAAAGGTGGATAGATGACCTGTGTGTATCTAGCCCTCCTTGGACATGTTTTTGGTGCCTCAAAATTGTGCGGTTTTGTGAAGTTGTCTTTGTCATTTTTACTTTTGTTATGCATACTATTTGAATTTATTACCATCATTTTTTTAAAAAAGGGGGCATTTGACAGAAAAAAATATTTGAATTTCTGACTTTTCTTGAAGAAGCAAAAGATGTGGCCATGCTGAGCCACTGAGTAGGAACTGTCCCATATGTACAGGATTTGAGCTCTCCAGTGGGCCATTACTCCCAACCCTTGAGGGCTAAACTCCTCTAAGTTATTTCCCTGATCCCTGACATCACCCTCCAAAGTTTTAAGTAGAAACCTGAACACACTTCATATTAAAGACTCCCTTTGTATAAAGGATGTATGCTTAATTTTCTTCTGAAAGAATTCTGAGAAGGAAAGGCATGCAAATGTCAAATTGGTGAACGTTTACCTCTTTTAGATTATTGAGATTCATTGAACTTTCATTAAAAAAAATGCCAACAAATTTCAATATATTATCCTGATAAATTCCATTGTTACACAAGGTAGAAATCCAGATTGGGTCCATGCTCCACAGAGTCAAAGAATGAACACCATGAATACCAAGATAAGCAGAAATTTATTAAAGAGGTTATGGTTCAGAAGTGTAAGAAAGTTCCCAACAGAGTATGGGAGGAGCAGGAGTGCCTCCATGGTCTCTTGACATCCCTTCTTTTAAAGGCACCTGAGAAGAAGTTGACTGGCCCCCTGTAACCTGTCCTAGAGATTTTGTCATATGTGCATGCTCAGGCTGAATTGCATAGTTGTCATTTTTGTAAGAATGGAGTCTTTTGTCCCGTTTGGGAAACAGATGTTGTTTGACTTGCTAGAGCACATCAAGTGATGAAACATAACTCAAACGGTGGTCCTGGCATCCAACCTCTGACTGACTCTTGCCATTTTCCTACTCTGCCTCTTTCCTTACCTCACCATCATTTCATTTGATAGGAAGAATCATAGCATGAAATTGGTAGTAATGAGTGTATCTCATTTCCAGTGATCACCTCTCTACCCCACTTGATGACATTGGACTTCCCTAAGTGGTTTCCAGTGGGAACGCAGATGCCAATATCTGCCAGTCCTTCTGTGTTCTTACTGTTTTAGCAATCCTCTGATCACAAGAAGATAATTAGGAGTTTTCACATTACTTGCCAGGGAATTTAAAAAAAAAAAAACTACCCAAACCTACCTAGTTTTCTGTTTCTTTAAGACATTGTAATTTTCTGAGGTTGGTTTAGATAAACATATTTTGTCCAAGTTCAGGGGCTGCTGTTTTCCCTGGCTTCATGAAATTATCAATGGGCAAACCTTTGACCTTCCGGATCCATGCAGCTTTCCTGGATTTTCCTGGATCATCTACTCTTGTGGGTTCGCTGGCCTGATATTCCTTCATCATGGCTTCCTCATACTCTTTTTCCTCTTTTACCGTCAACAGCATAAATTCAGTGTTCATTCGAAGGGGATCCAGGGTTGTGTAGAAGCGAGGCTTTTCTCTCTGGAGAGACAGGGTAGCTGTGCCCAGTCGGGAAGCCAGCAGATGATTTGGCTTAATGACCTGCATGCTGGTCAGGGGCCCCATACTGGGCACTGCCCCTTCAATTGAACTGGTTATTTGATCTTCACTCTTTAATCTGTCAGAAAACCTAGAGCGGATAATCATGGGCTGGGGTATGGTGGACAGGACTCTGGGACTATGCAAAGATTTCTTCAAGTTGGGCTGCAGTTTCTGGACTTCAAAGGGAGTACTAGTTTGTTTCACATCTATGGGATGATTGTTGATTCTCAAGCGATCAACTGCATGTTGGATTGATTTTCCTTTGAAATTCAGGACCTTCCTTGGATATGAAATTGAAGGTCCCCAGGCACTAAGGACTTGGGTTTGGGGCCTGTGGGGATAGGCAAATTCCCCAGAATTATGGGCTCTTTGTAGAGCACTGACAGTCAGGAGGAACCGGTCAGGTGAAATAGGGGTTTTCCAGGACTTTGACTTCAAGTGACTCATCAATTCCTCACGAGTTTCCAGTTTTCCCTGTTCTTGTACCTTTTCCACATCATCTTTTACAAAAGGAAAAATGGGAAACAAAAGCAAAAACAGCATTCCATGAAAAAATTAAGTATTTGTACAAGAAAGTGAAAAACCATTCTAATTACTACAACACTGAGGTCTTATTGCCCAACAGGCATGTCATCATTTGGACAACTGTCCCCAATGATATCAGAAATGATGACACCAGATATCATGTAACAAAATAAGTTCTTAATGAATATGCCAATGCTTGTATAAAGTGTATATTAGCTTCTGGTGCATATTTTGAAGGCAACAAATGTGATTGCACTGTTCTACACCTTTTCAAAATTTTCTTATGGGGAAGTTTCTCTTTTATAATTCCCACAAAACAGGTCACATAAATTTATAATAATGTGTCTAATGTTTTTCAACAAAGATTGTATTGCAAACTTTGATCTCTACCTTATTAATCAGATTTGATTCCAATTGATTTGAATTTTTCCTAAAATCAGACCTGCCTTCAAAGAATGTCACTCCTGGTTAATGCAGAACATCACAAAGTGATAAAAACAGGCTCTTAAAGAGAAGTTCCCAAAAATTTCCAAACAATAACAGCAAGTTCAAAAGCCAGTGGCTAGAGCAACAGAATGCTTCCAGTATATCACTTTAGTGTCAAGATCTCCAGATGTCTAAAACCACTAAATTACCAAATATGTCTTCACAGAGGAGCAAACCTATTGTATCTCCCATGTGGGCTTTTAATTCCCTATAATACCTCACAGAAACACTGGAAATATCCTCATTCTCAATTTTTAAAAAAGTAGAAATTAAAAAATAGAAATCATTTGTCTAATCTGGCAGCTACCAAGGAAAAAGCTCTAAACCCCAAACTACACTAGCAGAAAAAATGTAACCATGTACTATGCATATAGTTACCTTGGTCAAACAGGTTTTATCCTCAAGTACACAGATTAAGATGGAATGAAACTTCAGGATTGTTCCCTGATCTTTACTTTGTTAATTAAGCAATTTTTATTTAAAACATATGAAATAGAATTTTTCTCCTTTTATAAAACAGGGATGATGATAGGTTCATTGTTCATTAACTCATCTTTTTTCACATAATAATACATGGTGGATCTCTTTCAAAGTCAATACATATATAAATCCTCATCATAAAATTTTGAGTTATCATGTAATATCCATAGTATGGATTTTTAATTATCTACTCATCCATCATCCACTGATGGACATTTGGCTTGTTAATGATTAACCTTAAAGAAATGCAAATACCACTTTTACTTATATAAGCAAGTATAAGGTGATAGATAACACCCAGAGTTGGTATGAATGTGGGGGGAAGCTCTCATGCTTAGTGGGACTATAAATTGATACCACATTTTTAAGGAAAACCATGGCAATATATAGTTTTTTTGGGATGGGGGTGCCAGGAATTGAACTCAGGGGCACTCAACCACTGAGCCACATCCCCAGTCCTATTCTGTATTTTACTTAGAGACAGGGTCTCACTGAGTTGCTTAGCTCCTCGCTTTTGCTGAGGCTGGCTTTGAACTTGTGATCCTCCTGCCTCAGCCTGCTAAGCTGCTAGAATTACAGGCATTTTCCACCATGCCCAGCTATCTTTATAGTTTTTAAGTGCACTTATCGTTTGGATCAGCAATTTCACTCCTAGGATTTTACCATACAGGTAGACCTGTGCAGGTACATATACAGGTATATATAAGGATGCCCTCATGAAATTGAGGTGTTTTCATCTTACCTTGAAACTGGTCTCTGCAGGGAGT